TAGTACATTTTCTAATGTTTGTCATTCTTATTCTGATTTCTCATTTTACTAAGTCAATCAGTAAATGTTGTGTGTAAGGCATTGTGCCTGTTACAGCAGGAGAAACAAAGTGACATAAAAACTTTCCTCAAGGAACTTGCTGTCTAATTGAAGTTTTGCAAGCGAGGGAGTGCTTCTCATATTTGACCTTTCCTTTCGATTCCTGTTACCCTCTTTGGCTAGACCCTGTTCACATCAAAATCATTTCCTAAATTGCTCCCCCAGCTTACCATTACCCCCAATCAAATCAATCCCAGGTCATCTTTTTTAAGAAAAAGTTAACTTGATGGTTGCCAGAGGAGGGGATGGGGGGTATAGACAAAATGGGTGAAAGGGAGTGCTGGGGGGGGGTACAGGCTTCCAGTTATGGAATGGATAAGTCACAGAGGATGAAAGGTACAGCATAGGGAATATAGTCAATGATATCGTAATAGTGTTGAATGGTGATGGACAGTAGCGACACTTATGGTGAGCACAGCATGACATATAGAGTTGTTGAATCACTGTGTTGTACACCTGAAACTAATGTAACATTGTGTGCCCACTATACTTCAATTTAAAAATGTGTATTTTTTTATTTTTATTTTTTTAAGTTTATTTTGAGAGGGAGAGAGGGAGAGAGTTTGTGTACATGCATGCAGGAGAGGGGCAAAGAGAGAGGGAGAGAGAATCCCAAGCAGGCTCTGCACTGTCAACACAGTGCCTGATGCAGGGCTCAATCCCATGAACCAGGAGATCATGACCTGAGCTGAAATCAAGAGTCAGACACTTAACCCACTGAGCCACCCAGGCACTCCCCCCAAAATATACATATTTTAAAAAGTCGTTCTCTCACCATCCTACCCTCCTCCCCCAAAAAATATTTTTCAAAGATACCATGTTGTCTAATGAATAAGGTTCAATTTTGTTATCTTGGCTCAAGATTTCTCTCCTTTTTACCTTTAAAATCTAAGTCCTATCCATCTTTAAGTCTCAAGTCCCACTGCATTCAGGCATCTTTTCTACACTTCCCCCTGAGAGCAATCTTTCCCTTCAATTTCTGTAGATTATATTCTACATCACTCATTGGTATGCTACCTTAACTTGTTTGTTTTATATGCATGTGGCTTTTCCCTGTTCAGATTGCAAATTTATTGGGCCACCTGGGTGGCTCAATCGGTTGAATGTCCAATTTCGGCTCATGGCCTTAATCTCACAGTTTGTGAGTTCAAGCCCTGCATCGGGCTTGCTGCTGTCATCCTGTCAGTGCACAGCCCACTTCATATCCTCTGTCTCCCTCTCTCTCTGGCCCTTCCCCACTTGCACTCTCTCTCTCAGAAAAAAAAAAAAAACATTAAATATTGCAAGTTTATTGAACGCAGGGCCTGAATGTAATGTATTACACACAAAAGATGCTTCATACATGTTTGATGATGAAGATGGTGATGATTTTTCCTGATTTCAGGGTATGTATAGGATGGGTTATGAGGGTGGGTGGCAAAGGAAAGATCCTGAAGATGGGGAATGAATTAATAAAGCTTTTACAGTAACAGTCCAAAAGGGTGATAAGGGCTTCAGCTTATTGATTCCTTGGCTCAGAGCCTCATTGTATTGCCAGAATAAATTCAGTGAGTTTGAAAAGAAAAGAAAGAGTAGGACTTTAGTACTGCTGTGAATTTATGTGGGGGCTGAGAGAGAAGTAGAAGTCAGAAGTAAGCCAACCTGAGTAACTCCAGTAATGATAATAGCATTAGCAAAAATGAAAGAAAGAAAAAGAAAGAAAGAAAGAAAGAAAGAAAGAAAGAAAGAAAGAAAGAAGAAAGAAAGAAAGAAAGAAAGAAAGAAAGAAAGAAAGAAAGAAAAAATAAATCAGAGGTGGAAGCCAGATGTAGAGGGAAGATGATGAGTTTGTTTTTAGATATACTGAATTTAGGGTAACTTAAGTAACCAAGTAGACATGTCTAGCAAGCAATGAGCTACTCCCTACCCCCATTCGATTCAATACAACAAATATTTACTGGACATCTACTGTATGCCAGTCACTATGTTAGAGATGCAGTCAGATAAGACACTATCCCTGGCCTCCAGAACTTATGTTTGAGTGGGGACGACAGACTAACAAATTCCTACAGTATAAGGTAGTAAATGGTATAATTGAATTATATATACAGTGCTATGGTAGTATAAATAGGGGATGCATTTGGTCCAAGCAGATGAGAAAAAGTTGCAGAAGTGATGATTTTGGAGCAAGGCCTGGAAATATCAGTGGATGTTTGTTCAATAAACCAATAGGGAAATGAATTTCCGAGTGAATGAAGTCTCGAGGAAAGGCACAGGGTGTGTGGCACCTAGGGGAACAACAAGTGATCTGGAGTGACTAAAGAGAATGGGATAACAGAATAAAGATGGGGGCACCTTCATGGCTCAGTTGGTTAAGCGTCTGACTTCGGCACAGGTCATGATCTCGTAGCTTGTGGGTTCGAGTCCCTCATCAGGCTCTGTGCGGACAGCTCAGGGCCTGGAGCCTGCTTCAGATTCTGTGTCTCCCTGTCTCTCTGCCCTTCCCCTGTGCGCGCGCTCTCTCTCTCTCTCTCAAAAACAAATAAACATTAAAATATTTTTTTTTAAAGATGGATGGAGCAAAAGAGGTGATGGTTGTCAGAAAATGGACAGGAATTTTGTTACATTAGCCTGGGGAGGCAGTCTAGTGTGATGGTTTGAAAGGTATGGACTATAGTGTCAGACTGCCTGGGTCCAAATCCCATCTCTGCCACTTACTAGGTGTGTGACCTGGAGTGAGTCACTGAGTATCTCTGTTCTCAGTTTTCCCATCTATGAAATGTGGCTGCTGGTACCTGCCTCAGAGGATTGTTTTGATGATTGAGAGAGCAAGTGTATGTAAACTGATTGAGGTAGTGCCTAGCATATATTGAGTGTTATGTTGGCCTAAGGGCTAAATTATAAAGAAACAAGGCACTACACCATTGTGTCCTACATCATCAGCAGGTTCAAAAGGAAATTATAAATGGGAACTAAAGTTGACAGATACTCTAAGCATGGATCCAGGGCGCACTAGATGAATCTCCTGTTCTCACATGAGTGGGAGTTTCTTGCAAGGGTGACATATCTGCCTTGGAAATGTAGATCCAATTTAGGGAAGGGGTGAGGAGTCTGAGAAAAAAAAATTACAATGGCCGGAGTGGGACTGTTTATTCCCAATACATGGAAGCTCTCATTATGGCATTCCCTCTGGAAAGTGGAAATAAAATGAAATAAGGTTGAAATACCACCAGCGTATTTTATTTCAGTTAAGTAAGCAACCAAAAATTGGCCAGTGGGGACCTTCGAGGGCAAGAGAGGAGGCAGCAGGGTCCAGCGACAGGCATTTTGCCAGGTTTGGAGTAGGTAAAGGATCCTTGAGTAGACTCTTGGAATGATTGTGTTTCCCTGTGTGACTGCTCTGTGTGCTGCTCACATGGAACTGAGCCTTGTCCACCCAGCCAGCCAGGCCAGGGGTTTCACTTGACAGAACTCGGTCTGAATTCTGGTGTTACCAATGACTAGCAAGTTACTCACGTTGCCCAAGCTTCAGTTTCTCCATCTGTGGAATGGGAATAAAGGTGGCTCCTATATTATAAAGTGCTTATGGGGGCGCCTGGGTGGTGCAGTCGGTTAAGTGTCCGACTTCAGCCAGGTCACGATCTCACGGTCTGTGAGTTCGAGCCCCGCGTCGGGCTCTGGGCTGATGGCTCGGAGCCTGGAGCCTGTTTCCGATTCTGTGTCTCCCTCTCTCTCTGCCCCTCCCCTGTTCATGCTCTGTCTCTCTCTGTCCCAAAAATAAATAAACGTTGAAAAAAAATTTTTAAAGTGCTTATGATAATTACACGAAATAATGCATCTATAAAGCATTGGAACATTAGGTGCTTAAATAACATAAGTCCGTTCCCCTTCCTTTGCTTTTCCACTTGGGCAACCCAGAGATGCCCGCTCTCAGTTCAGCCCTGCTGGGCACTTCCTATCATCTAATGTCAATAGTAGTAGAGATGGGAGAAAGGAGAAATCAGGATACAGAAAGACAATGAAAAACGGTGGCTTTTCTTTTTTACAACCCCACTCTGACTTTGCAGTGGAGATATTTTGATGTAGCTAGTATTCCAAAATAGAAGAGGTATTCAGATACTGGACAGCCTAAGGTGAGAGGTATCTACTAACACATGATGGCAACGATGTGAAAATATAGCTACACATGCATTTCTCTGATGTGAAGTTATAGCTGCACAGTCATATGTTTTAAATTTTTTTCTTTTTAATGTTTATTTACTTTTGAAGGAGAGACAGAGCAAGAGCAGAAGAGGGGCAGAGAGAGAGGGAGACACAGAACCTGAAGCATGCTCCTGGCTCTGAGTTGTCAGCACAGAGCTTGATGCAGGGCTCGAACCCACGAACTGTGAGATCGTGACCTGAACCAAAGCTGGACACTTAACCAACTGAGCCACCCAGGCACCCCTCGTTCATACATTTTAGAATTAGAAGGGAACAAGGAAAATCGAAACCATTGTTTTAGGATGGTAGAAATCAATTGTTGCGATGTTATCTCAATATTATTGTGCCTGTGGAGAGGGATCCTCTTTTCCTGACATACTTAAATCTCCTTATCGTCTTTTCAAAAGAACAGCAGGAGAACAGGGTGCTGGGGTAAAGGGAGTTGCACAGTGGGAATAACATGCCCCCATCTCATCTGTCCTTCTGCCCAGCCTTCCATTAACCATCATGATCTACCAGAGGCTGGAGAGTTTCCTATCTGTGGTGCTTCAATGCCCTTGCATCATTAAAATCATCATCTCTACCCTTCTTCTAGGACTGGATCTTATGAGGGAGGTATGGAAGAAGTTGTGCATGCTTAGCTGTCAATCCGAACCTTTGAGAGGCAGCAGGGGACAAAGGCAGCAATCACTGTGTAATATTCTGGACTTTCTTGGCAGGTGAATACTGCTATGCATGAGGCAAAACTTATGGAAGAATGTGACGAGTTGGTAGAGATCATCCAGCAGAGGAAGCAAATGATTGCTGTCAAAATCAAAGAGACCAAGGTAATGCACAGCCGCTTCAGTGAGGCCAAGGCAGAGTTGACTTTACAAATGTCAGAGTTTCCTCCTGATGATTCCAGGGTGAACATGGATCGCAAAAATAAGAAGAAAGGAGGTGGTAGGGAGGGAGGCAAAGAAGAAGCAATGTTTGACCTCGTGCGATGAATCCAGTAAAAATGATGGCAGTTCTGGGGTGTTGGAAATGTTCTATATCTTGGCCAGGTTGGTGGTTACATGGGTGTTTGTATATACAAAAAAAAAAATCATTGAGTTTTACACTTCAGAGGTGGGTGCTTTACTGAATGTGTTATAAGTCAACCTGAAAAGAAAAAAGAAAAAAAGTAATGGTGGAAATGAGGGTCAGAATTATGGAAGGACCAGGCATGCTAATATAAGGACTTTGGGCTTAATCTAAAAGGCATTGGGAAACCATTTTAGTTTCTTAGGAAGGGAGAAGACTGATCAATATGGCAGAGGTATGCAGAATAGATCAGAACAGGATGATACTGAAGTCAGAGAAGCAAGTTAAGAGGCTTATGGAGTGTTTCTTTTTTAACTTCTTAATGCTTATTTATTTTTGAGACAGAGTGAGTGGGGGAGGGGCAGAGAGAGAGGGAGACACAGAATCCGAAGCAGGCTCCTGGCTCTGAGCTGTCAGTGCAGAGCCTGACATGGGGCTTGAACTCATAGACCGTGAGATCATTACCTGAGCTGCAGTCAGATGCTTAACCAACTAGCCACCCAGGCACCCCATGGAATGGTTTTTGGTATGAGTTGATGAAGACCTAAACCAGGGAAGCACCAGCACAAATGGAAAGGAAGAACATAACAGGCACTACTAGAAAGGAAATGATGAGAATCATTAACTGATTAGCTACAAAGATGAAGGGGAAAGAGAAGACGTTCAGGTTTTTAGCTTGGGAATTGAAGAAGCACGGTCAAGGTCAGGTGTGAGCCTCCGTGCATCTCTATGGTTTTAGGCTTATTGGTCTGCCGGTCAGTGTAGTGATTATAATAAGTTCATGTTGTGTATACAATGTGAGGAGTTATGAGAGTCTGGAGTGATAATCAGTACTTTGTGCCATGCTTGATGGTTGGGTCCAGCTAACACAGGAGTTGAAATTTCTGTGACCCCAGGCCTGTGAACACACAGGTATGCATACAGATACATAGAGAAATATATACACAGAAATGTAGATACTCATAAAGAACAAAGAGTTACTTTTTATTAAACTCGTATGTGAAAAGCTATTGACAATAAAATGTAAACAGTGGTGATCTCTGGGTGCTGGGGTTTCTTTTTATACTTTTATTATTTTCAAAATATTCTATGGTGAGCATGCATTGCTTTTATAATCAGAAAAATTAATGTTATCAATAAAAAGGTGGAGGCCGATGATCTACAGTATATGACTGGGTGTATATGCAATGTGGGTAAGTGGGCTGGAGGTGGGAGGAGGGGCTGGCAAGACAGACGTAGAGGGTAGGGTGAGGAGGTGAGTGGTAAGTACAGGGACCTTGGGACATCAATAGGCCTTATTTTTAGAATCACCGCAGCAAATCTCCTTCGTGTTGTTTTATAGTTTTTAATTAAGCCCTGGATATTTAATCTCATTTTTCTTTGGCTCATTCCTTGAAGGTAATGAAGCTGAGAAAGTTGGCACAGCAGGTTGCTAATTGCCGCCAGTGTCTTGAACGGTCAACAGTCCTCATCAACCAAGCTGAACATATCCTGAAAGAAAATGACCAGGCACGGTTTCTCCAGTCTGCAAAAAATATCGCTGAGAGGTGAGTTCCTTCTCTTTTTACGTGCCTGCTCTTATGAACAGGGGGCAGCTTGAAGTCCCTTAATTCCGTTCAGGCATGTATGTATGTAGCAGCCACCACCAGATAGGTACGAAGCCTCAGTGGTTCATTGCCCTGTGGATTTCTGGCACCCTTTTCTCTGTGTAGCTCATCTGTTCCTCTAGTGTCCAGCCAGTCATGGCCCCTAGCTGTGCCCTAGCTCTTCGTGGCCCACTCCGTGCTAGAGATTTCTATGTTGATGTTAGCATAGGGCCAGAGAAATATTTGGCCACAGAGATGGGTGTGTGCTCTTCCTAAATCTTTGTGTGGTTCTCATTGCTTTCATTTAGTTATCCATCACACAGATCCTTTAGAGCAGTAATTCTTAGGCTTTTATTTTAATCAATGGCTCCTTCGACAGAGTGATGAATGTCATGAGCCCTCTACCTGAGGAAAAAAATGCATAGTAGATATATACACACAGAATCTCGCATACAATTTCAGAAAACTCATGAATCCTTAGCAGGCCATCTATACACCATTTGCAAAGAATCTGAAGATGAAAGTGAAACATTGCTCAGTACAATCACCAAGGCTTCGAGGGGCTGCAGGGGCTCATTAGGCAAATCTGACTTCCTTCTATCTCTCTAGCTCATTTACTGGAGACTTTGGCTCTGGGTTCACAGTATTACTTTCTGTTGCTTCTGCCATCGTTCTGGGTGCCATTGGCGGCATCCACATCTAATGCCAGCTGACATTGGCAGCTGACCACATCTAATACTCTAGCCATCTAATATCCTGGCTCCTTGCCATCCCATCCTCCAGTGACCCTCACCTCTGCTCCCCTTCATCCACCTACTTCCATGGCTCACATGCTGAACCTCACCATCACTCAGAATAAACTAAAACATCCCACCTTCTAACTACAACCTCTGTACTTACAGTTGTTTGTTTTTCTTCCAGTACATCCATTCTTCAACTTCATTGGGACCTCTAAGGCCTGACTCCTATCTACCAGCTACCTATTGTCTTCACTTCTTTCTTTGGCCTATTTAGGGTCTATGATTTCTCATTTCAGCTATTCACTCTCTTTTCTGTGTACCCAGTTCCCTTGCCCCACTGTCTTTTTATCCCACCAACCTGGTAAGACCCCCAACCATGAAGCAGCCCAGCTCTTCTCACCTTTTCCATGCCTATGTTTGAGTTGCAGAACCCTGGGGGAGAAAACTCAATAATCAAAGAGGTTGGTACTGCTGCATCGCAAATTTATGGCTTCTAATCTCCCCTGGGCCCTCGGTACTGACCTGAAATCCTTCTGTGTTGCTTTGGTCAGCTTTCTTTCTGCTTTGTCTCCATAATGGCCATTTCAAATTTTCTGTGTTCAACTCAAAGTTCCGACCCTGCCACCTTCCTGCTCATGCTCAGCAGATGACTTTACATCCTATTTTTATAGAGAGAGTGGTAGGTAAGAAATGACAAATTCCTCAGCTTCTCAAGCCAAGCTGGGGGGCATACCTACATCCACATCCATGAGTTCCCCCTCCCTTTTGATTATAATAGAAGACATGTGCTTTGTGCCACATGCTTCCTTTTTACCATAGTTTCAATTTCTACCTTTCTCTAGTTGACTTCACATGGACTTTTTTTTTTCTTTTTTAAAAGTTTATTTATTTATTTACTTATTTATTTATTTTTTTTATTTATATATGAAATTTATTGTCAA